TCAAAGTCTGCCAAATCTTCAAATCCATCAAATCATTAAGTTTGTCGGTCTTCAAGTTGAAGTCCACAAATCCACCGAGTTTTAAAGCCGAGGCTTTCTAATTTTCCAATTTTAAGGTGGACGTTTAAGTCCCTTTGCACCTAAGTTGGTCCCTTTACGGGTTTGTCCTTAAAAGGAACTTTAATTTTCCAATCTTAAGGTGGACACTTAAATCCCTTTGTACTTTAATTTGGTCTCTTCACGGATTTGTCTGTCTATATGGTGATGTGGATTTGTCCGTCAATATGGTGATGTGGATTTGTCCGTCTGTATGGTTATGTGGATTTGTCCGTCTGTATATTGAGGTGGATTTATCAGTCTATATGATGATGTGGATTTGCCCGTCTATATGTTGATGTGATGTGTCCGTCTATATGTTGATGTGGATTTGTCCGTCTATATATTGAGGTGGATGTGTCCGTCTACATGTTGATGTGGATTTGTCCGTCTATATATTGAGGGGGATTTGTCCGTCTATATGTTGATGTGGATTTGTCTGTCTATATATTAAGGTGGATGTGTCCATCTATATGTTGATGTTGATGTGTCCGTCTATATGGTGATGGAGATTTGTCCGTCTATAAGTTGTTATGGATTTATCCGTCTATAAGTTGTTGCAAATTGATCTGTCTATAAGTTATTGCATTATCCATCCGTCAATAAATTGTTATGGATTTAACCGTCTATAAGTTATTGTGAATTTATCCTTTGATGGGACGTCATGTAGTTGCTCGTCAACTTAGTACTCGACGACTTTTCTTCTTGGGCCTAAAAAGGGAAAAAATAGACAACAAAGAAAAAATCACAAGAAAAGAAGAAGAAATTACCTTCGCGTTAATGCTTCCGAGTCCACAAAAATAAACTCAAGGGACTTGCAAATACTGCGAATTAGATATTCTCCATTGGAGCAGGCAGCCATATATATAGATGTCAGAAACTTCTTGCAAGAGTATATTAACGATGTGGGAGTTAGATTATACAATTGGTCTCCTAGATGGATTCAGTTAATGGTGACGAGTCGGTTACTGATAGTGCAACGTCGATTGGCTATTTAGAGTTCAAGTAGGATTTGGAGGCTTTCAAGCATTCCTTATATATTCGGTGATTGAGGCGGCAGTGCTATATGGATAGATATCTTCTGATCATGAATAATCGCATGCCTTGGTGGTGCAAATTTCTATGTCAAATTAAAATGAAAACTTTTCTTTAATGTAAAGAATGACAAAAGTTCTTACAAATTTGTCCGACGTGATGGCTAATGTTTGGTCATCATATATCTCTATGCATGACATTACTAATATGGAAATTATTTTCTTGATTCAAGGAAATAGAAAGTTCAATTCCGGATAACTTTTAAGAGGACAAATGTCTTCTATGTGTACTTCAAGACCAATTTTTGAGTTTCGATTAGTCTACACTCCGATTAGTCTTGGAGTGGGAGCATTTGTGAGCATTTAAATTTTATCGGATTTAAATCCATAAAGTTACTTGAACTATATTTTACATTCAAGATAATGTTGGTCCCAATAAATAATAGGCTAATATAATTGAATTAATTATATAAGTCCAATATATTTGAATTAAATAAATAAGTCTTAATCCATTGGGCTAGCCCATTTAATTGGGCTAAAGTGATGAGCCCACTTCATTAAGCCCAAGATGTCATCTTCCTAGAGGCCCAGTTTGATGCCACGTGTCAAATGACGCGGCGCGCCAAGTCAAGCGGAAGAGCCAATAGGACCATGCCACGAGTCAAAATGACAAGGCATGCCCAGTCACACTGAAAGGCCAAAGAAATCGCGCCACGTGTGTAAGTGACATGTTCTGGCCAATCAAATGCGGCCATGTCACACTTCAATTTGATTGGTCGGAAAGAGTTTGCTCTTATCATGACTCCTCCCTCCCACAACTATAAATAGTGGTCTTCATAACCCAGAAAAAAAATACCAGAAGTTATAACAAGAAGCAAGAGAGAGCTCGTGGATCAAACACCGCAAATTCCTCCACAAGTTTCAAGCTTCAAGCAATCAAGTTTAAGTTCAACAAATCAAGTTCAAGCTCAAGAACGAAGAACAAATCAAGTTCAAGCTCAAGAACGAAGAACAAATCAAGTTCAAGCTCAAGAACGAAGAACAAATCAAGGTTCAAGGAGTGCGAGTTCAAATCAAAGTTCGTCCCAGTTGAATTCAAGATCATCGTTCGTGGCAACAAACATAGATTCAAGATCAAGCTCAAAGGCCCTTGAATTTATTTACAATTGGAAATAAGAATCAGGGGATCCATAGAGATTGTAACACTCAAATATTCGAAATAAAATACTACGATTGTTGCGGTATTTTCAGTCTTGATTTTATTTTCTCGACGCAAATTTATAGTCTACAAATTATTTTAAAATAATTTTTAGAACTTGTATACATTAAAAGAGAGAACTAGCAAAGAGTTTAATATTTTATGTATAAAATATTTTAAAAACTTGTATACATGTAATGTCCGGTTGGTTTGGTTTCGGTTTGACTTTTTTTAGTTAAAACTAAACCAAACCAATTATGGTCGGTTTTTTTTCTAACACCAAACCAAACCATAGTCGGATTTTTTTTCTCGGTTTGACTCGGATGATCGGTTTAGTGCAATTTGTCGATTTCTTTTGTACACCCCTATCCCTATGCGAAGGTATAGTGTTAACACCAAACTTTTCAGTCCTAAGTTGAGTTAGACATGTAATTCTCCTCCAAATTAACATACCCATTTCCATTAACTCTTTTTTTTCTTGGTTGAAAAAACTATATTATGTCCAAGTTCCTACGGAAAAGAAAAATCCTAAAACTTGAACAATGCACGTGAATTAAGATATGGACGGAACAAGAAATTATGTAAGCGAAAGATGAAATGTATATAGAAATATGAAGTCAATTGAACCGGGTCAATGCGAAATTTGTTAAACCCTAATGTTTCTATAAAGACTATTATTGCTACTTAAGGGGTCATGGTTGGTTTGATTTAATTTTCAACCAAACCAACTATTTTCGGCTTTTTGGTTAGTTTTTTCAGTTTTTCAATTTAATCGGGTTTTCTCTTGATAATTGTATTAATTACAAATTCGATCTATTCAATTATTTAAAATGATAATTGAACAATTGTACGAATTAATAATCTATTGAACTATGCTTATGTGAGAATTTTATTTTCGAAGTACATGGTAATTATTATTAAATTTTTTAAAAATTTAAAATCAAACAAAACTAAATGAACATGTCAATATTTCAGGTTAGTTTATTTGGCTTAAACACCCTACCTAAAAAGCTCGGGAGAAATTTAAAAATAGGCAGATTTACAACTGGTCGTTCAAAAATAGCCCAGTTTCAAAAGTAATCGAAATTTAGCCACTTTTCATGTAAAGATAAATCTGAGCAAAAACACTGTTCAAAACCCGGAAAATATGCCAGTATATTATAGTGGAGTTCCAGGATAAGTATGCTGGACCTCCAGCATAGTATGATGGACTTCCAGCATAAGTACACTAGAACTCCAGCATAATATATTGGAGTTCCAGCAAGTATAATTGTCCAGTGTAATATACTAGAGTTCCAGCAAGTATAATTATCCAGTATAATATACTGGAGTTTGGAGCACCGGTGCTCCAGTCTTCAGTATATTATACTGGAGTCAGCAAAGTATACCGGTCCAGCATAATATGCTGGAGTTCATACACAGGTGCACCGAACTACAGTATATTATGCTGGACCGGTCTCTATTGCAGCAAAATAGTAGTTATTTTTCATTGACTTCCTAAACGCTGCCTATTTTTGAATGACCAATCCGAAAACTGGCTATACGGTGCTATTTTTACAAAAAGCTCGACTCTCTAGAGACTCACACCCGCGCTCTAACCCCACCACCTCCCCTCCCTTACCGCACCTAACCCCCTTTCTTACACCTGCTCTCTATGCTCTTGTAGTTCATGCTGTCCAAGATTTGCGCAATTTCATCCACTAATTAAGCGTATGTTATGTCATTTATTTTCAGTGTGTTAGCTAAACACAACGATTTGACTAAATCCATTCTTTGATTTTCCAAAATTAGGGTTCTAATTTCGTGTAATCATTTTCAGCATTCTTTGAACTCCTATACTCTTTTCTCTTAGCTAGCGTTTTGATTGAAACCTGAAAAAAGGGTTTTGAAGTTGTGTTTAAAAATAATTTTTGGAAGTTAGAAGCTATGTTTGGATATGCATTTTATTTGAAGAAAAGTTGATGTTTTGTGAATTGGAAGAAAAAATTTCACCCAAAAACTGCCATAAATCAGTTTTTGGGGAACTTGAAAATTTTTGATTTTTTTTTTCCTCAAAACATGATCATATTTCATAAATAAATAATGTTTTCAATTTTTTTTTTTAAAAAGTGAAGCAAAAATCTATGGCCTTAATTTCCTCCATTTTAAAGTTATTGCAACTTCTAGTCCTGAAAAGTTCGTCTCTTTTTGCAGCGGAGTCGTTGGTTTGTCTAAGAATTCAGGCGAAAATAATTTAGCTTTTTTACTGCTGGGCGTTTACTCAAAGTTTGAATTTTTGAGGCAAAGGGAAGAAGAATCCAATTTAACATTCTTGACTATCTAAACTCTCGAGCTGGAACTGAGGTATATTTCTTTTTATTCCATAATAAGCGGCTCCAAAGTAAATAAAATATGGTTGCTTACCCTCCACAATGGGAAAAAAGGGGATACTGTCTGAAATAGAGCAGAACATGATCGGGTCAAATATGCATCATATTATCTATTTAGAAAATGGATAACCAATAGGTAACCAGTGGGTAACCAATGGGTTTAACTTTTACATTTGTAAAGCCTCAAATTGGGTTTCCTCAAGTTTGGGAGATTAGGAATTCTCCCAAAAGTGATCATATTCAAGAAGTCATGGATAATACGGTTACCCATATTATCCGTCGGTTAACCCGTTTTTTATCCGTATTAAATATGGGTCAAATAATTTATCCGTTTTTCATTACCCGTTTTTTGACCCGAAACATATCCGACCCGACCCGTCCGTTTGCCGCTCCTACACCACCGTCATTTTCTGTTGTTTGGTTGCCCGGAATTTTTTTCTTCAAAGGGAGAAAATGACTTCCCTCACTTATGGGTGGAAGTGTTTTCATTACTGCTGTCACTTTAACGGGAAAAACTCCCCCGAAAAAGGAGTGATTATTCTAAGAATTATTTAAAAATATCAAGGTGCGGGGATGCACACATGACATTTGTTAATTTTAATTGTATCAATTCAAGGTTCGGGTATGAATACACGGACTAACAACAACTATCTTAAAACTTTAACTTCATATTACTTGTTCCAATTAACACTTTTATTAATCCTTTCAAACTCAAGAAATTTAATCAAAACACTCTTCTAATATTATTATTAATCTTTAATATATATTTTTCCTAGAAAATATTATCCACTCACCCGTCACCAACTACATTTTCCTTGAAAAATGACTTTCGCTTACCAAACACACTCATAATCCATAAGGCTTTGAACTTGGTGGAGTTTATACGATAATTTAACTGCAAATTGATTTAGCATGCACTTTCAGTTCGTCATGTCGTGATTGTAGTAGTGGAACAAAGAGAATAGTGGATAAGATAATAGTTCCTTTCCTATATTCTCTCCCCTATGGTATTTAGGGAAGTTATGTACATACATGCACGGTTCAGTTGAGTAAAAACAAAAGACTTTTTTGTATTCCCTTTTTTTCGTTTTGCTTTTTCGTTTTGCAGGAATGCGTCCAGTCTGAGGGAAGTTCCATGTAATGAATAGCTTGTTTCATGCATGTTCAGTTACAATAGTAACAAGCACTACACGTCTTGCCTTGAAGAGTTCAATTTGTGGAATGCCGGTGCTTTCTTGGAAGATGAGCTTTTGCACATGCTTTAATTAGAAAGTTGATTTTGACTTTTTCTGAATAGAGTTAGCATCTAACAAGTGTAGTGGAGATAGTTCTCTTTCACGAAGTTTTATCCTACTCCAATAATGAAGGAAGAGACTGGTTTCTTTGTTGTTAAGAAAGGAGATCTTGTTGGAGTCTACAGAAACTTGAGTGACTGCCAAACTCAAGTCGGATCCTCGGTAACTATTTTGGAGGAATATTAATCTGCAGTCATGTGTATATATGTGTGTATGTGTGTGTATTTATTCCTTTTACCTATCAAAAAAACTATACATGTAAGTTAGTATATAGATATGGTGCCACTGTGACCCTTTCCCCTTTTTTGCCTTGATGGCTTGAATTTCCAATTTGTTGGTTGGAAGTGGAGTGCTCTTGCAACTGGATCAACTTCACTTATCAATTTGTAGTCGAGATGTATTGGCAAATGCTGCACCGAATTTACCTTATCTGTTCTTTTCCTCATGAATATGTGCAGAGGTAGTTGCACCTTGATAACATCATAAAAAAGATTGACCATATTTATTTGCTACAGCTTCATTTACATTGTTTGACATAAAGCTGGAGCATAATTTCTCTGCATATTTCAGCATTCTTTTAATGCTTTCCTTTTATGAATAATATTATATATCACAAAAATAAAAAATATTCGTTGTAGCTTCAGCTTGGTTTTCCTGAATTAATGATACAGTTATAGTAGTATAGAAATTTCTATCAATGTTTATAAACCAATGTGCATGAATTGGCAAATATATCTTGCCGTGTGTTAATCAGTT